TGCAGCTGCCGTCGCCGGGCCTCGAGTGGGTGGGTGGGGATCAGAGCAGGCGACCGGAGGCTGCAGCCTCCTGTCGCCGGGCCTGGAGTGAAAATGGCGTCACTCGCGAGGTGCATATTCGTGGTAGTGGTGGTGTGGGCGGGACCCAGGCTTTGCGTTCTTATTGGTGGGCATATGGTGAGTAGCAGTTCCACCGGCCAAACACTAAAGGGGCGCAGTTTAGAACGTTGGTGCCCACTACTGCTTTATTATAAGGGAGAGATTGCTGGTCTCAGAAAAATTTAAAATATACACGCCTTTTTAATATTTGAAAAGATAATGTCTTTTAATTTTTATCTAAAAAAAATAATAGAGGATGTGTTTACAAAACCACAGAAATAATTACATAATTAAAGGGTTTTAAAATGACAAATAAGGCTGCAGCAGATTGCGAGGCCCTAAGCTGTAGCTTATTTATCTTATGCGTAAATCCGGCACTGACGCACACTCCATAGGGAGCCCTGGGTGCTGAGATGTGATTCATCGATTCCCTGTTTAAGCGCATCAGGAACAAATGGGGGGGGGACCCTCGACTTGCCCGCGGTTGCGTGTGTGATTGCGCAACTGTGGGTCAAATTCCTCGCGTTATCTCACGTGTGTGACCACCACCAGAGGCGGTTTGCCATTGTCTGCCTCTGCATAGCGATCCTCGACTTCCTTGGCAGTCTCCCATCCAAATGCTGAGCAGGACCAACCCTGCTGAGCTTCCAAGGTGGGATGAGACCCGGCTAGTCTGGGCCATCCGTGACGGGGGCCTGGAGAGACTTGCCTGGGTCTAATTCCTTACTTACCGGCTGGCCAGTCGGATGGCTGAACTGCTGGAAGACGTAGGCCACCATGTCCCACACGGCGCAGCCCTCGACGTTCCGGGAGCGGAGGAGCTCTTTAATGAAGTCCAAGATGGCCTTGATCACCTGGGGGGGGGGGAGAGAACCGGGAAGCCCTTTACCCAAAGCTGCTTTGTTCGACTTTCCCCAGATGCTGGGAAATATCCGGTTTGGGGGCGGATTCAGACGACCTGGATTGCTTATGCACCAAAAATTCCCCACGTTTCAGCCACACGAACAGCACATTTTCTCCATGTTTTGAAATGATCTCACCTGTTATGTACATTTCAAAGGGTTATTTCGTAGAAAAAGAGGTGCAGGAGCTCATTGGCATAACTCATTAGCATACTTTATTTGCATATGCCACACCCCCTAATGACACCGGAAGTGTGTCAGAAGGCAACACCCACCACTCAGGCTCCACTGGACTGTTTTGGATTGCTAGCTATTGGGTGGTGGTGGTGGTGGGGACACGTGCAGATCTGTCCTGGCAGAGGAGGGAGAGCTTATACCCGAATAAAACTTGGTCTTAAAGGTGCCACGGGACTGTTTTGGGCCGGGGGGAGCTCTGCAGCTTACCTGGCTGCTTCTTGCTCTGACTGAGGGCTGCTGGGAGCAGGGGGTGGGGCTTGTTGCATGTGCCCGCCCCCTGGGCTCCTTACTGCCGGAGCGCCGCTCCTGTTCGCTCCCGCAGGAAATGACCCCTGCATTTCATCATCTTTTATTTGTGCACGGACCGTTAATAGCCCATTCCCTCCACAACAACAACAACAAAATCAGCTTTATTTTAAACCTGTTTTAAAAAACCCAGTATTTTTTAGGCAGGACAGTAATCGCAGGAGCAGTTTCTTGTGTCTGAACGTCAAACAGTGCAATGGACTTCCCCAAAGAAGTAGTAAATTACTCTTTTCCCTTTGTTGATGGCAGCAAGGGGCAGTCCTCGGCAACAATTAGCATGACGAGAGAATTGTCTGCGTTTTAGACAGAAGGGAAGGAATGGTCGGGGATGGTAAATAAAAGGGACTGTTCTGAATGGTGTTAAAGGTATTGTGTTATTCCTGTCCCACGTTACTCATGCTCATTTTTTTTTTTAGCGACAGAAAATAATCACCTACAGCTCAGCCTAACTTTTAAGGAGGGGGGACGGGTTTGTCTGAGGTGTCTGCAAAATAAATATATGAAGTTTAAAAACTTCCCCCCCAAAAAAAGGCTTTGTTATTTTTAGGAGACTGTAAAGTACTGGGTTTGCTGCACGGAGGACTCGGACAACGTCATGCGTTCAGACGCGTTTATTGTACTTCACACACGAACTGCAAAACGGCCCTGCAAGGCCAACTATATACACACCCACAGTCCCGTTGGAGGGTTTGAATTTCCCGCCAAAGTTGCTATTGGTGAATGCTGGGGGAACTAGGCTTCTATTGTTTTGAGGAGCTAAGCTCCACACTGTAGCCGCGGACCCCTGGTGGCGGTCCACGTACATAACAGAGACACTTCATTACACAAACAAACAGTGAAGAGGGCCTTCAATTCATATCAGGTGTGCAAGGGAATGATAAAAATGGAGAGAAAATGGATGACCCCAGGGCTATTTTTGGGCAGGAACGCACAGGAACGGAGTTCCGGCTGGCTCCTGAGTTGGCCACGCCCAGCAGGAACTCATTAGCATAATAGGCCACACCCAACAGCAGAAACTCATTAGGTTTGGCTACATTAGGGGTGTGTGGCCTAACATGCAAAGGAGTTCCTGCTGCAAAAAAAGCCCTGGGTTTTGACAACAAAGTAAACAGAATAAGAAGCAAAAGGTGGGTGTGGTTGGATGACCACCCTTCTGGTAACATGTGGGGTGTGGCCTAATATGCTAATTTGCTGTGCTGTCAGGGGTGTGGCCTAATATGCTAATGGGCTTCTGCTGTTGGGTGTGGCCTATTATGCTAATGAGTTCCTGCTTGGCTTTTTCTACAAAAAAAAGCCCTGGATGACCCTGGACTGTCTGGGATCTCTGTTGCAAGGGCAATTTCACGAAGAATCGCATCAGGAAGCAGATGACAATGGGAAATCACCCTGGTGTGGATGCAGCTCTAGAGGACGTCTGGCAATCAGGATTTCTCCTTTTATATGCTGCCAGCTCTATAATGAGGCTAGGTGAGAAGGAGCCCTTGGGAGGTGGATGGGAGGTGTGTCATTTTTGCTGCCTCACCTACTCCATAGATAGGGCCCATGGCTGACAATCCCCAGGAGTTTTGGGAGATGGAGACTTATGAGACATCATTTCCTGTTTCATTCCGAGAGCATCATGATGTCTGTGACGATTCCTTGTTTTAAGAGTGTGTGTGTCTCTTTAAATTTTTGGTTGTAGTGCAGTGAATGCAGAGTAGAGTGATTGAGGGAGACAAGTGTGCTGTGATTAGAGGATGAGAGAGTGTGGGAGGAGTTTTTGAAGTGGATCTGTGTGAGTATCAGTAGTCAGTTATGAAAAGTCGCGCCGCGCCGCCAGGGGGGGGGGGGGGGGAGAACGGCTGAAGTGCGGCTTTTTAAAGCCGCACCAAAAGAGACACGCGGCGGGGGGATCGGATAGATCCCCTGAGCCGCCGTGCAGTTGCTCCCCGGCACAATCAGATGCCGGGGGGGAGCCACTGCAGGGAGAGCGAGGCAGCCGAACTGCGCATGTGTGTGCGTGCGCAGTTCGGCCGGGAGCCTCGATTGCTCCCAGAATTCAGTCCTTCCTCAGGACCACCTAGATCCCTGAAAAGCCTAGACCCTGGGTTACTTTACCAGAAAGAGGAACAGAGAGAAGGTTTGGAAATCCTTAAATTCCTGGTGGCAGCCGAATCTAAGTTTAATAAAGCAACGAGCACATTTAAAAGGAAAACCAGTCCTCCCTAAAGAGAGGATGCCACAATGTCATTGCCTGTTTCCAAAAAGGAAGGGGTCACAGTGCTCTCGGAATTTCAAAAATCTTCATGGTAAGACCACAGAGTTTTGGAAATTCCTTGAGCATCATTACAAAAAAGCAAAAGTCCAGTGGCACCTTAAAGACTAACAAAATGTGTGGCAGGGTGTGAGCTTTTGTGAGTCACTGCTCATGATGAAAGCTCCTCCCCTGGCCACAAAAGTTGTTAGTCTTTCAGGTGCTCCTGGACTCTTGCTCTTTTCTGCTACTACAGAAAGACTAAAATGGCTACCGATCTTGATCTAGAGCATCATGACATTACATCCTTTCCTTGAACAGCAAGTGATGACATGATGCCCTAGGGATTTCAAAAATTTCTATAGTAAAACCACCGATATTTTAAAAAATCCCTAGAGTGTCATGATGTCACTTCCTGTTCTGAAAGGAAGTGACATCCAGGTGTTGATTGAAGAACTTTCCCCCTTCCTATTCCCCCCAGCCTGCCACTGGTGAACGCAAGGTGGGAGGGAAACTGGAGGCTCCTTCTTCCCCCTTCTAAAATTTCCTCGTAGCGCTGATCAAATGAGCAGTTGTTGGGCATATCGTGTAGCTGGGCCATAAGTGAGAACGAAAAGAGGCAACTCTAACCTCCAGGGGCAGCTCATTCCAGAGAAAGGGACCTGCTACAGAGAAAGCCCTTCGGTGTGGTGAAGCAGGTTTGAATTCCTCCCGAGGAGACATGGAAAGGAGACTCCATTTGCCCAGGAAGCTGCCGGAAACATCCTCTAAAACAAGCCTCTCCCAGGTCTTACCACTTCACGGCGATCATCCAGAATGCATTTCACAGCGTCCACGATCGGCCGCTTCCTGCTTCTGCTCTCGCACACTGGAAGAGGCAAGAGGAAGAAACCATCAGCTTAGAAGTTAGGAGTCTAGTTTTATAAAGAAAACCGACCCTGGAGGTCCCTTCCAACTCTATGATTCTATAACTCTATTTTTTTTTTTTAATGGCACAATTTCCGTTTTACTGACTGATAGGAATAAAGAAATTGTGGCCGTAAACAACTTTGAACACTGGAAACGGTGAGTCTGTTTACCGGATAGTGGCAAATATCCAACTGTTATTGGATATTTGTGGTAGTCCATCGAAGCTACCGGTAAATAAAACAAAGGGGATACCTTAAAGACGAATGACATTTACTTCAAAATGGGCTTTCATAAGTTATGGCTTACTTCCTCACCTATGTGAAGGGAATTATTTTTATGGGTAAGATTATGGGGGGGAGGAAGAAGTGAGCGATGACTCATAAAAGACCCATTAGCCTTCAAGGTGCCACAGGGCTTTGTTTTATTATTGGATATGGCACCCAGACATTCAGTGCAGAGCTGGAAACCCCCAGGCAGGGCCTGGAGATCCTCCCAGGTGACAGAGATAAGAATACATCAGAAGAGCCCAGCTGGGTCAGACCAGGGGTCCATCTAGTCCACCATCCTGTTTCACACAGAGGCCAACCAGTTCCTCTGGAGGGCCAACAGCAGGGCATGGAGGTTTGGGCCTTCCTAAGAACACAAGAAGAGCCCTGCAGGATCAGACCAGTGAGGGTCCATCTAGCCCAGCATCCCGTCTCACACAGTGGCCAGCCAGTTCCTCTGGAGGGCCAGCAACAGCGCAGAGAGGCCGAGGCCTTCATGAGAACATCAGAAGAGCCCAGCTGGGTCAGACCAGGGGTCCTTCTAGTCCAGCATCCCGGCTCACACAGTGGCCAGCCAGTTCCTCTGGAGGGCCAGCAACAGCGCAGAGAGGCCGAGGCCTTCATGAGAACATCAGAAGAGCCCAGCTGGGTCAGACCAGGGGTCCTTCTAGTCCAGCATCCCGGCTCACACAGTGGCCAGCCAGTTCCTCTGGAGGGCCAGCAACAGCGCAGAGAGGCCGAGGCCTTCATGAGAACATCAGAAGAGCCCAGCTGGGTCAGACCAGGGGTCCTTCTAGTCCAGCATCCCGGCTCACACAGTGGCCAAGTGGTTCCTCTGGAGAGCCAACAACAGGGCATAGGGCCGAGGGCCTCCAGCAAGTTGTTCTGTGAGGAGCGTAGTGCTCTCCTGGGGGTGTAACAGTGAATCTCGCCTCAGCTGTGATTTTGCTTGGTGGCCTCGAGCAACCATTTCTCCCAGCCTGCCTCTCCCATCTGCAATATGGGAGCTACGACACTGCACTACATGGCAGGGATGTTGTCAACTTTTCTCCAAAATTTCGCTCTGCCTCCAGCCTGCTATAGCAACTGTGGACTTCTTTACGAGGTTCTCCGGAAGTGTCCTTTGCAACCCTCCCCACAAGATATGGGGATAACAACAGTACCCTTTCCTTCAAGGCTTCTGCCCAGATTTCAATAAGGACAAGTCGATTTTGTGAATGCCCTGAAGCAGGGGTCCCCCACCTTTTAGAGCCTGTGGGAACATTCAGAATTCTGACACAGTGCGGTCGGCACAGCCACAAAATGGCTGCCACAAAATGGCTGCCACAAAATGGCTGCCACAAAATGGCTGCCGCAGCTTCCCTTCAGTCACCCAGTGAAGATCCTTGTGCTGTGGGGGCAGTTGCCGCCGAAGGAATGTTTTAAAAAAATTCTGCACAGCCCATCAAATCGCCTTGGTGGGCAAAAGCTTCACCCATTTTTCTAAAATTGGGCTTCGGGAAAGGTGTCAGGGGTACTATGGCCTCGGTCACATGGGCCGGATATCGCGGGGGGGGGAGAGGCATGGCTAATTGCCCCAGAGGAAACTAACGCGCGGCAGCCCGAGCACACGTCCCGGTCGAGGTCCCGTGGTTCGGGGGAAATCGCTCTTTGTGCACATGCGTTGTTGGGCGCTGTCGCACAACCTGTGGAGACGAACAGCGGCGGGCGCCGGATGCCACGTAAGTCCACCGGGAATGCGATCAGATGCCCACCCTTGGCCCACGGTTTCCGGAAACTAGTACCTCGTAGGTACTAGTTTTTAACTCCGCACCTTCGGCGTGGAGCCACGGGTTTGCCACGGGAGCACTGCGCTTCCCAGATGTTGGGGTGAGATCGCGCCCGGAAAATCCGCGGGACTCCCGTGCCTCTCCCGTGGCAACTTTGCCGTGTGACCGGGGTCTAAGGCACCCAGGGCACCACGTTGGGGACCTCTGCTCTAAAGGGTTCTATCAGTGCCAAGCTTTGTGCTTTTCCGAGAGAACTCTTTGGAGCGCTGCACTTTTTGTGGTTCTCATTGTTGTTACTCACAGTCATCGCTCACAAGGACGGCTTTGAGGTGCCTGAGCAGGACCACGCGGACATATTCGGTGTCGTCCTTCATCTGAGTCTGCAAGAAGTCGAGGGCGTCCGTGGGAGAGCAGCAGACTGAGGGGAAACACATTAAGGGGTCTTGTGCTGAATCAGAACCTCAGTCCGTCAAGGTCAGCCTTTGTCTGCTCAGACGGGCAGCGGCTCTCCAGGCAGAGGTCTTTCCCATCACCTCCTCCCTGGTCCTTTCAACTGGAGATGCCAGGGATTGAACCTGGGACCTTCTGCAGGCCAAGCAGAGGCTCTTCCACTGAGCCACGGCCCCTCTTTATAGCTCTCCAGGGTCTCAGGCTGAGGTCTTTCCCATCACCTGCCTGGTCCTTTCAACTGGAGATGCCGTGGACTGAACCTGGGACCTTCTGCATGCCAAGCAGATGCTCTACCATTGAGCCACAGCCCATCTTTACAGCTCTCCAGGGTCTCAGGCTGAGGTCTTTCCCCTCACCTCCTGCCTGGTCCTTTTAACTGGCCTGGAGATGCCGGGGATTGAACCTGGGACCTTCTGCATGCCAAGCAGATGCTCTACCACTGAGCCACAAGCCCCTCAAATGAAGCTGCCTTAGACTGAATCAGGGATCCCTGGTCCACCCAGGTCAGGACTGTCTACTCAGAGTGGCAGTAGCTCTCCAGGGTCTCAGGCTGAGGTCTTTCCCATCACCTATTGCCTGGTCCTTCTAACTGGAGATGCCGGGGATTGAACCTGGGACCTCCTGGGTACCAATCAGAGGCTTTTCCACTGAGCCACGCCCCCCTTTAATAAATTACAGTATCAGACCATTCGTCTATCAAAGCCAGCATTGTCAGCAACTTTCCAGGTCTTTCACATCACCTGCTGCCAAATCTTTTAACTGGAGATGCTGAGGCTTGAACCTGGGACCTTCTGCATGTCAAGCAGGTGCTCTACCACTGAGCTGCAGCCCCTCGCGTGAAGCTGCCTTCTACTGAATCAGACCATTGGTCCATCAAGGTCAGGACTGTCTACTCAGACTGGCCGCTGCTCTCCATCATCTCCTACCTAGCCCTTCCAACTGGAGATGCCGGGGATTGAACCTGGGACCTTCTGCATGCCAAGCAGAGGCTCTTCCACTGAGCCACGGCCCCTCCCAAGTCTTCAGGGAGCTGACATAACGTCACAAAGTGAGGAAACCAAGGCCAAGCATGGCCAAGCATCCAGTCAGCCGAATCTTCGTTCCGCAAACAAACCGTCATTAAAAGCAAGGCGTATTGGTTTCGTGTTCGGCCCGAACTGAGCACCGCAGGCCGGCTGCGCTTCTTACCCAAGTGGCTAAAAGCCTCCACCAACACGTCACGGTGCTCTGTGCTGAGCCGCTGATGTCCACACGTGGTTCCGAAGCCAGAAAAAGAGGAAAGGAGTCACTCGGTTGAAGGAGCCATTTTGCAGACCAGCCAACGAGAGAGTTTTTAGTTCCCATACTAACAGGCAGGGGTCATTTCCTGCAGGAGCGCACAGGAGCGGAACTCCGGCAGTAAAGAGCCCAGGGGGCGGGCACATGCAACAAGCCCCACCCCCTGCTCCCAGCAGCCCTCAGTCAGAGCAAGAAGCAGCCAGGTAAGCTGCAGAGGCCCCTCCCCCGCCCCCCCCCGGTCCAAAACAGTCCAGCGGCACCCTCAAGACCAAGTTTTATTCAGGTACAAGCTCTCCCTCCTCTGTGAGGGCAGATCTGCCCCTTCCCCCCCCCCCAATGGCTAACAATCCAAAACAGTCCAGTGCAGCCTGAGCGGTGGATGTTGCCTTCTGACACACTTCCGGTGATGTCAGGGGGTGTGGCATATGCAAATAAGTTACGCTAATGAGTTATGCTAATGAGCTCCTGCGCCTCTTTTTCTACGAAATGACCCCTGCTAACAGGAAGTTGAAATCTCTAATCTGTCAGCAGAAGCTGCTGATAGTTACAGATCTGTTCTAATTTCCCCTTCCCTCAGCCAGTATCTTCCTGTCCAGGGAAAGCTGCTTCCTGGGGTCATGGGACCCACATAGAGGGCTCCACTGGAGGGAGAAGAGAGAAGAAGAGGAGGAAGAAGAGATTGGATTTATACCTTGCCCTTCACTACCCAAAGGAGTCTCAGAGCGGCTTACGAACTCCTTTCCCTTCCCACAACAGACACCCTGTGAGCAGTGTTCCCTCTAAGGCAAGTTAGTGTGAGCCAGCTCACACATTTTTGTCTTCGCTCAGGAAGGACGGGGCTCCAGAGCAAACCAATTGATGCGGCAGCCAAATCGCTTGCTCACCACTTTAATGCCAGCAGCTCACAAAGTAGAATTGTTACTCACAAGACTCCATAGCTTAGAGGCAGCATTGCCTGCAAGGTGGGTGGGGCTGAGGGAGCTCTTTCGAGGACTACCCTTGAGAGAACAGCTCTGAGCCAGTTTGGTGTCGTGGTTAAGAGCGCGGACTCTCATCTGGGAGAACCGGGTTTGATTCCCCACTCCTCCACTTGCACTTGGCTGGATGACCTTGGGCAAGCTGTAGTTCTGATAAGAGCTGTTCTTGGAAAAGAGCAGTTTTTGTCAGAGCTCTCTCAGCCCCACCTACCTCACAGGGTGTCTATTGTGGGGAGGGGAAGGGAGAGGAGTTTGTAAGCTGCTCTGAGACACCATTGGGTAGTGAAGGGCGGGGTATAAATCCAATATCTTCTTCTTCTTTTACCTCACAGGGTGTCTGTTGTGGGGAGGGGAAGGGAGAGGAGTTTGTAAGCCGCTCTGAGACACCATTGGGTAGTGAAGGGCGGGGTATAAACCCAATATCTTCTTCTTCTTCTTCTTCTTTTACCTCACAGGGTGTCTGTTGTGGGGAGGGGAAGGGAGAGGAGTTTGTAAGCCGCTCTGAGACACCATTGGGTAGTGAAGGGCGGGGTATAAACCCAATATCTTCTTCTTCTTCTTCTTCTTTTACCTCACAGGGTGTCTGTTGTGGGGAGGGGAAGGGAGAGGAGTTTGTAAGCTGCTTTGAGACCCCTTTGGGTAGTGAAGGGCAGGGTATAAATCCAATCTCTTCTTCTTCTTCTTCTTTTACCTCACAGGGTGTCTGTTGTGGGGAGGGGAAGGGAGAGGAGTTTGTAAGCCGCTCTGAGACACCATTGGGTAGTGAAGGGCGGGGTATAAACCCAATCCCTTCTCTTCTTCTTCTCTTCTCTGAGAGAACTTGTGACTGACCCAAGGTCACACCAGCAGCTGCACGTGGAGGAGTGGGGGATCAAACCCGTTTCTCCCAGTTTAGAGTCCACGCTCCTAAGCGTTACACCAAACTGGAGTAGGAATTGCCCTCCTGCCTTTTGTGGCAATGGAATTCGCACTTGTGCAAGGGGGTGGGGATGGTTTTGCCATCTTTCCCTTCTTACAGCGGGGCCTCGACCTGCATTGTCCATGTGGGTTGCACAACCCAGGAACCTGTAGGGAATAGTGAGGGGAACACAGGGAAGATCCCCAGTTGTCGAAATCAGGTAGGTGAGCCAGGAGAAGATCTCCCTTTGGAGTGAGTTTGAGTCCAGTGGCACCTTTCAGACCAAAGAAGTCTTATTCCTCGTGTAAGCTTTTGTGTGCACGCAGACTTCTTCAGATTCTTCGGGTATCTAAAGGTGTGTGCATGCGCACGAAAGCTTATGCCAGGAATGAGACTTTGTTGGTCTGAAAGGTGCCACTGGACTCAAACTTTGCTGTGCTGCTTCAAACCAACACGACTAACCTCCTGGATCCCTTGAAGTGGTGTGAGAAGATCCATGTCTTCCCTGAAGGAGCAACCATCTATTAGGAAAGGCTTACGAACAGGGCTGTTTTGGGGCAGGAACGCACAGGAACGGAGTTCCGGCTGGCTCCCGAGTTGGCCACGCCCAGCAGGAACTCATTAGCATAATAGGCCACACCCAACTGCAGAAGCTCATCCGGATTGGCTACATTAGAGGTGTGTGGCCTAACATGCAAAGGAGTTCCTGCAACAAAAAAAGGCCCTGGGTTTTGACCACAAACAAGGTAAACAGAATAAGAAGCAAAAGGTGGGTGTGGCTGGATGACCACACTTCTGGTAACATGGGGGTGTGGCCTAATATGCTAATGAGCGGTGCAGTCAGGGGTGTGGCCTAATGTGCTAATGAGTTTCTGCTTCTGGGTGTGGCCTATTATGCTAATGAGTTCCTGCTGGGCTTTTTCTACAAAAAAAGCCCTGCTTACGAACACAATTGGTCAGTACAAGAGGAAGTAAATTCAGTGATAAGGTGAGTCCCTCCATACATCGGCGGGATGGAGGAGAAGAAGAAGATGATGATGAGGAGGAGTTGTATACCCCACTCTTCACTGCCCGAAGGAGTCTCAGAGCGGCTTACAAACTCCTTTCCCTTCCCCTCCCCACAATAGACACCCTGTGAGGCAGGTGGGGCTGAGAGAGCTCTTTCAAGGACTGCCCTTGAGAGAACAGCTCTGAGAGAAGTCGTGACTGACAAGAAGACGAGGAGGAGGAGGAGGAGGAGTTGTATACCCCACTCTTCACTGCCCGAAGGAGTCTCAGAGCGGCTTACAAACTCCTTTCCCTTCCCCTCCCCACAACAGACACCCTGTGAGGTAGGTCAGTCTGAGAGAGCTCTTTTGAGGACTGCTCTTGAGAGAACAGCTCTGAGAGAACTTGTGACTAACCCACGGTCACCCAGCTGGCTGTATGTGGAGGAGTGGGGAATCAAACCCAGTTCTCCCAGATTAGAGTCTGTGCTCCTAACCCCTACACCAAACTGGCTCTCAAGAAGAAGAAAAAGTGATCCAGGTATATGGAAACTAAGTACCTTCCCAACCCACACCCAAGATTTTAGTGGTGCCTCTACAGCTATTTGGCCATGCTTGGGGTCAATAATAATCGCAGTGGCAAATCTGGTTCCTGAACATTCTCTGTTGGAACCACCAATGGGGTTTGGGTTCTCTGACGTGGCTTGGACAGAAAGTACGGCCGTACTCTCTCATTTTCACCTCCTCCTCCATTTCATCTTCCCAGTAACCCTGCGAGGTAGGCCAGGCTGAGAGAGGGTGACTGAGCACGCTTAGTGGCTCGTGTAGGATTCGAACCTGGCTTTCCCCAGCTGCAGCCTGCCAATCTAAACCACGGGGCTAGTAGGCTACCTGATCCTGTGCAGCTGCTGCTCCTTCTTGGATCCGCCTCTGTCGTGCGACCTCTGGGCTTTGTGACTTCCAGACCTGGGCTATGAACCGGTCCATGACCTTGGGCCATTTCTGTAACTGTTGGACTGAAGTACCAAGTGGTAAAACCTAGAAGAAGGCATTTAGGATTTAAAAAAAATAAATAAATAACTCTCTTTCCTGCTCCAGATACCTTGTGCCTGTTCTACATCAACACATGAAGCTGCCTTATTGTGAATCAGACCATCGCCCCATTACGGTCAGTATTGTCTACTCAGGCCGGCAGCAGCTCTCCGGAGTCTCAGGTTAAGGTCTTTCCCATCACCTCCTGCCTGGTCCTTTCAACTGGAGATGCCGGGGATTGAACCTGGGACCTTCTGCATGCCAAGCAGAGGCTCTTCCACTGAGCCACAGCTCCTGCCCTGAGAGTTTTGAACACATGAAGCTGCCTTCTACTGAATCAGACCCTTGGTCCATCGAGGTCAGTATTGTCCACTCAGACTGGCAGCAGCTCTCCAGTGTCTCAGGCGGAGGTCTTTCCCATTACCTCACTGCCACGTCTTTTTTTAACTGGAGGTGCCGGGGATTGAACCTGGGACCTTTCACATGCCAAGCACGTATGCTGCCATTGAGACACAGCCCTTCCCCAAAGGAAAGAACACATGAAGTTGCCTTATACTGAATCATATCATTGGTCCATCATGGTCAGTATTGTCTACTCAGATTGGCAGTGGCTCTCTAGAGCAGGGGTGTCAAACATGTGGCCCGGGGGCTGGATCAGGCCCCCGGAGGGCTCCTATCGGGCCTGCAGTGGAACTGGCTGTCTTCTGCTTCTTCTTCCAGTTCTGCTGCTGCTGCGTCATTGTAGGTTTGCAGCTTACAGATACACACCTGAACAGCATACTCGAGATTGCAACAGCACAGGCATTTTGATGCAATACTTCAGAGCAAGAGGTGTCAGTTATCAGACACTGTTAAATAAACAAAATATTGCAAGAGTGCTCATGTTTTAAGCATGTTTTTATTAACTAAAAACTACCCCTTTGTGTTTGTGTCCTTTATAAAGTTTATATCTCCGCTACCTGGCTTTACATTTTATGAGAGACGTGGCCCGTCCCAACAAGGTCTCATTTATGTCAGATCCGGCCCTCGTAACGAATGAGTTCGACGCCCCTGCTCTAGAGTCTCAGGTGAAGGCCTCTCACATCACCTACTTCCTGATCTTTTTAGTTGGAGATGCTGAGGACTGAACCTGGGAACTCCTGTACGCCAAGCAGATGCTCTACCACTGAGCCACGGCCCCTGCAGTCTGTCGTATTTATTGCAATGTGTGGTTGGGTGACATGCCCTTCATTTCAAACTAGGAATGAACTAAAGAGTCCTCTGAATTTTCCTTTGGGATGACATTTGGTAGAAGAAGAAGAAGAAGAAGAAGAAGAAGAAGAAGAAGAAGAAGAAGAAGAAGAAGAAGAAGAAGAAGAAGAAGAAGAAGAAGA